CAAAAAGGGCTAGAGGTAGCATGACTGTGACCTTCAAATTCATTTCTGTATTGTATTGCCCTATAGTAGTAAGTATAACTACCAGTATTATTGATCAGTTTCATATTACTGGTTTTGAATATTAAAAGCTCTGGACCTCATACAGACCTAATTATAAAGATTCAGAGAGGTTCTTGGGAATTTCCTCCTTCATAAGATTTCATTTCTTGCAATATTATTCAGAGACTTGTTGAGTGTTTTAAGAGAAGCATAAAATTCTCTTTGAATTTTACTCAGAATGCTTCTTTATAGCCAAACAAATCCTAATTTTAGTCTTTTTTATTCAAAGCTCAAATGGTCATAATTATATATAACCAGGTAATTAATGTTTTCAATTTTCTTTCATTTGTAGCCCCTTTTAAGACTAGGAAAACGCTACCCCTCATTTGCTACCATTTCTTTTAAAGTTCCAGATCTTCTTTAACTGTATATATTTGGTAGATCACTAAACTGAAGAATTATCAATTACAGAATTTACATTAAAATACTTATCTTGACATGGTAAAATATCTGTGTGCTCAAAAATTAAGTACTTCAATAATAAAGGAGAACCTTCTTAAAGTGCCTTTGTCTCCTGCCAGTCTGTGACTGTTCCCAGCAGACTGATGGGAGCAGGTGCGGTCCCTTCTCCCTTCCTGTCAATTGGTTCTGCTCTTCATCACCACAAACCCAAGACTAGCAGGGAAAGTTCAAACCTTTCCTTAGCAACAGGTAGTCAATCACTTATTTCATATGAAGACAGGAAGGACCTGTCTTTGGAGGCCTGCCAGTAGCATTGAAGCCACTTGCAGTCTGGAGTGTGGCCACAGCACTTTAACACTGAAAATATAAATATGGAAAGTTCAGCAAATTAATGTTAAACTAGAGGCTTCCTTGCCTTAAAAAATTAAGTGGTTGGGTCAGAAATTCCAAAGTCCAAATTTCAAGCGGTACACAGTTTACCAAATGTTGTCTATAATTTAAGAAAGTGAATCCTGTAATGAACACAAACATCTGTCATGTCTAAAGATTAGTTTTTGAATGACAAAATGGTGCTATTTATTTTGAAGTAATTAAGACGTTGTTCCCTGTGACAGAAAAATATAGATGCAGATTACTTATATTAAATTACACGCCATCCATCTGAGGAGTCCATTTAGTGATAAACATATTCCAAAGAGAAGCATTAAACAAAATCCTCAGAATTGAGGTGGTTCCACGTAACTAATTTCTCCCTATTACAGCTGCCTTGTGTAAGCACCCACATCACTTGTGTATAGCACTATTTATTTATTTATTTTTGCAAATAACTACTACCTTAATTCTTGAAGTATAAAATCCAAGAAACCGTCATCAACTAAAATAAGCTCTTAGTTGAATCATTCAACCTAGGAAAAAATGGATGAACCTCATTCACTGAACAAGGATCTTGTTATAGTACAGATCTTAGTTTACATGCCACTATTTTCTACTCACCCAGTTTTCATTTAAAAAAAAAAAAATCTTAGTACAGGTATCTGGAAATCAGTTATCAAGCTAAATCAGCTGGAGAAAGAGGGAGGGAACTTCTTGAAAAATTAACTTAAAATATAATGCCGGTTTTAGACTAGGGAAAATTTAGCAAGGTTGCTAGATTTTTAGAACCTTTGTAGCATTTCTAAATAGTAACTAAAAAATAATTAAATGAAAGTCTCACTTCTACAATCCCTTTATATAGTCCCTTTCTGTTTTGAACTCTTATATTTTAAATAAAGTCTAATTGATTTTCAGTATTTTAAAAAATATCCTAATATTTTCCACATTTTTTGGATGAGAATTATCTTTTTGGCTTCTGAACAGAGTTGTGAGAGGTTTTCTTCCTTCTCAAGAACGGCTTTATTATATTCTGCTAAATTTTATTCAGAAAGACACATTTCCAATCTTAAAATGAAAATCAAGGAGAAAATCAGGCTCATCACGATTGTATCACAGCAAACTTTGCTGAAATGCATCTCAATTTATTTAGTGAGAGGTATTCTACATACATATTTCACAGGTATGTTAGCATTTGTAAAATAGCAAGGTGCTCTTTGTTCTTAATCTGATGCTACCTTGCTAGAAAATCAGTCCTACTCACACCTTGATTCTTGAAAGTTAAACTGGCAGAGGATTGTAAAATGATCAAATAACATGTGATCTAACAACCATTCCAGATCATTCAAGCAAACAATTTTTGCAAACAGCATCCAAAACTGGTGGTAGAATATACTCATATTTACTATGCAATTCCACAACCTTTCACTTCATTCCAACGAAGCACAGACATTAAAATGAGAAAGAGGCAGGAGATCTGACTGATTAGCACATCTTCCATGTATATTTTCACAATGCACAGAGCTAGAGTCCATTTGCTTGAAATACCATCGTCCCTGGAGATGCTACATTTGAGGCCAAAAGAAAAAAAAAAAGTGTGTGTGTATGTTTTCACATACAATTATAATGTTTTTCATGACCCTTTGACTACAATTTTTCGGGTTTTTTTAAACCATGGTAGGAACAAGACTTCAACTAAAAATTACTTCTCTTTTGAAAACCATTCAACTTCTTTCTTTTGTTAAGCAACCTTGCATGTATTGCACGTTCTTCTGCCTTCCTCTTGTCCTCAAGATGCTGGTTACCTCCCTGACAAGAAATGAGGGCACTTTCATTCCAGGTAACATCTGAACATTGGTCAGCATGCCACCCTTGTCTGAGCAGCCACATACATCCCAAAGACCCCAATCCAAGATTTCCTGGATGTGTATTTGCCTACAACTCCCTTGAGATTGAAACACCAGGCGATACACCCAACACGTTTGTCACGATTATTCTAAGTATAGCCAGGCAATCCCCAAAAAGGTCCGCCAAAAATCCCTAATGTCACGCCCACACCCAGAAGTGAAAAGGTCCCAGAAACACACACCCCCGACGAGAAGGGAGGTCGCGCCGCGGGGATGCACGAGCACGCTGGAGAAGGGCATGATCCGCAGCCCCTGACTGGGAGGCTGCAGTGACGCCGGACGCCGGGCGCCAAGCGCCTGGCAGTCTAAGGTTGCCCTCCCGCCGCCTCGCCCCTCAGGGCCCCGCCCCCGGCATCGCCCCCAGCGCTCGGCCAGTAGGTCAGCGCACGCGCGCCCCTCCGCGGGGCCACAGCGCCCTGGGCCGCTCCTGGCAGTCTCGCAAGGGGAAGAGCTCGGACCTCTTCTGAAAACGCAGCGCTAGTGTTTTGTGTGCGGGAGGATGGGTGGGGATCTGCTCCGAGTCGGCATGAAAGAGCCACGACTGGACGGGCAAGGGCAGGCCGGACACGGAGCCCTCCCGGCGACCACCTAGTCTCCATTTTATTTCCTTAGAAACTGTGGGCAAGAGGGGGATCCGACCGAGGGCGGGGTTTATCCCTACGTGGGGTGAGCAAGACCGTTAGGCTAGAACACTGGGAGACAGTCCTAGCAGCTCCTGGCCGCCACCCGCGCCTCCATAAAAGCCTCTCGCGGCTTCCCGCCCAGCCAGATTCGCTCTGATTGGTCGCCATGGGTGGGACCGGAGTTGGCTGGAGGCGGTGGCGGAGGTTTGCTCTCGTGCCGCCCGGGGAGGGGGCTCTCTGGGTGCTCCCCGGGCCGCCCCGTGCCTTCCCCACACCCAGACTTGGCCTCCTAGAGCAGATCCGGCGGCACCAGGCAGCCGCTACGCGGACACACAGCGCCCTCCGCTTGGCTTTCCCCGGGCGCTCGAGCACTTCTGCACACACTCCCCGGGGGTACCTAGAATGTCCACCCACCCCACCCAGCTCTCTGCAGGCACTTCCTCCCCTTAGGTCTACAAGCGCCAAAGCGCAAATCCTTGGGTGAAGGGTGGAAAGAGTAGCTGGAGGGGTGGGTGGGCGCGCACAGAAGAACCTTTTAGGGAGGCCGGGCTGGAAATTGCCAAAATGAAATGAACCTCCCTCCTGGCTGCCCAGGTCCTCTGGGCGGCGGCGCAGCAACCGCCACCGCGGCAGCATCACCACTGTCTTCATTCCAGCTCCCTATTGTTCACACTTTACAAGGATCAGGAACCTCGCCCAAAGAAAGGAGCCTGGGGCGAGGTGTTTCTGAAGGCTACCTGCTATTCTTTCGCACGGTGTAACACCAGGCGTGCGGCGCGTGTAAAGGCACACGCGCACACACGGGCGCACACACACCAGGCAGTGAGGATCACGCCCTCCTCGCCCTCCGCCCCTCCGCACTTCCTCCTGTCAAAACGCGCAGCTCGACCCTCCCCATCCCTCCGAGCCTCAGGCCAAGAGCAGGGTTTGCAACTCGCCAGCAATTTGGCAAATAAAAAAAACTAACGTCATATCGACGGGGGTGCAACAACGGCCACACAGCCCCACAGTTCGGCTGGTTTCGCCACATTTTGCAAACCGTTATTCTGACGGGGGGCGGGGGACCGGAGGCAGCGAGACCCACTTTTTTGGATCTCGGGAAATAACGATCCGGGTAGCTGTCCCAACCTTATTGTTCACTCTCCCCAGAGCCCGGGCTGACAAGCCCCTTTCCCGAGCAAACCGAGTCTGTGCGGTGGCACCACTGGAGCCACGGCATCCCTCGCCCCGCCGCCGCGCCGGCCGCCGCCTGCTTTAGGGGAAGAAGCGCTGCCCATCACCGAAGCGGCCGCTGAGTCCCCGGGAGCCGGCGGGCTCCGCTCCCACCGTCGCGAGCACACAAAGTAGGACGGCAGGCGGGCCGGACGGACGCCCGACATTTGCTTCGCAGGGAGGCAGCCCGGTTCCAGCGCAGCCTGCAAGGGCGCGGGGTCCGGGTGGGTAGCAAGGGCGACGCGCTCCTTCCTCAGCGCCACGAAAATGACCAGCTCTAGCATTCCACGGAAAACCACCCCAAATCACAGTGTTCCCTGAAGGAGGAGTAGGGGGAAGGGAGCACTTATCAAACCAGATCGAAAACGAAAAAAAAAAAAAAATGTACCTGCAGTTCCCAGGAAAAACAAAGTCCAGATGAAATCCTTAGTTTGCAGCATTGTAGTCGGCTGGCTGGGAGGGATGTTCTTGCCGCGGTGAATTCTGTGCCCTCCCTTGCAGCGAGTGGACGGCGGCAGAGCAACAGACCTAGGGGCAGACAATTGCCAGGCTGAGTATGATTATTTTTGCAGAATTGTTTCCTGCCAGCGGCTGCCGAGCTGCCTTCACGCGCTGATCGGAGAATGAGTGACAGTCTAAGCCTCAGCACACGCGCAACTCGAAGATCCTTGCGCTGGCCGGGGTTCGCTTTGATGGAACTGGGGATGGGAGAGGGGGGCGGGGGTGAGAACCTCACTGTGTCCTTCCACCACGCCGGCCACAAATAGTGCCGAACATCAAGGAGGTAAGAGAGACAGGGGAGGCAGATGCGACCGCCTACAAAACGCGGCCTGGAGCTGCCGAAGGAGTCAGGATCGTTCACACGCAGTCTCCCAGGCAGAGCTGGGATTTCTTCTTTTCACAGTTCTCCCACACGCCTCCGCGTTCCCTCCCGCTACCCAACCTTTCTTAATCAGGAGTTTACATATTTTAATAATTAATAAATCATAAAAATGAAATCGTAGATTTGGTTAGGTTTTCAAAGTTGTCGGATTGCTCTATTTAGTTCCTAAATTCTTGAAATATGAAAATAGCCTAGGTCTCAATCTTTTTCTTTTTCTTTTTAAGCTCAGGAAATTAGAAATTTGGAGAGAAGTGAGATTGCTGTTCCTGAGCTTTGTTTTCGTGTTTGTTTATTTGTCTCACCGGCTGTGAAGTTTGTGCTCCCAAGGAGAAGCAACATATAAATCAGCGAATCCCGGGGGGAAGGAGGTGGGAAATAACTTAAGTAGAAGAAAAGGCAGATGATTAGAAGGAATTTCCGGAAATAACTGGAAGAAAATGGGGACATTTTCTTGTATATAAATGCTGAACTCTGTGGTCTCTTTATTAAGATCACAGAGCCTTTTATATATTGTGATGTACTGGTTAAGGCGTTTGGCTTTAACGGACGTGTCCATAGTTTGTAACCCTTGGGCTGCTGTGCGGAAGAAAGATGAGGCAGTCTGCGTCCACAATGATTTATAGCCTTGGAAACCCAGTGGGGGTCGCTATGAGTTGTCCATTTATTATTATTATTATTGATGATATATGAGTAATATTAAAATACTTTTTTCTTGCAAAGGGTTCAATTCACTTCAATTCATCTTACAGCTGTACTTTATAAAGAAGGTGGCGAGAGCAGGGTGGAAATAAACGTGATCTCAGGATCTGAACAGGGCTTGGCTATTTAAGGAACAAGGTATGGAAGAATCAGATGCCCCAAGATGTTCTACATGCTGGGTTAATCTGGCACAGTGAACTCAGGAAGGCTGCCCTCATTCAAAGACATAACACATCACACCAGCATTACCACACACTCTCCTATTCCCCATCCTCTGCCTGTAGACCAGCCAGCCTCCATTATTGGAGAGGCTATATCTTCTCCTCTTCTCTATTAGACCAGTTGAACCATACCAACATACTGTGATTTCTGGTATCCCAGAAAAGTATTTCTTCTCCAACACAATTTGTCATATGTTTACTCTGGAATATTTATTTTATATGAATTATAAATGTAATTCACTACCCATCTGTCAGTTTGTTGTACTGCGGTGGCTTGTGTGTTTCTATGACCCTGGAAGTTATGCCACTGATATTTCAGATACCAGCGGGGTCCCGTGTGGGAGAGAGATTTCAGTGGAGCTTCCAGATTAAGACAAACTAGCAAGAAAAGCCTGGTGATCTACTCCCCAAAATTAGGCAACAACAACCTTGTGGATCATAATATAATATTGTCCAAAATTGTGCTGGAAGATAAACCCCCTAGCTTGTAAGGCACTCAAAATACACAATGGCTCTCACAATGGACTCAAACATACCAACAACCATGAAGATGGTGCAGGCAATGTTTCTTTCCATTATACCTAAGGTTATCAGGAGTTGGAGACAACTCAACAGCAACAAACAGCAATAGGGTGGTGTCATGCCTAAAGCATTCAACTGCTCACCAGAAGGATGGTGGTTCAAATCCATTAGCCACTCCTCAGAAGGAAGACTGGGCAATCTACTTCCGTAGAGATACCACCTCAGAAACCCAAAGAGGTGTCGCTAGGAGCCAGAATTGATCTGAAGGCAATGAGTTTGGTTTCTTTCTTTTCTTTTTTTCTTTTTTGGTAGAAAATTAAAAAATTCAGAAAAGTGGAAAGAAGGAAATAAAAACCCCAAATCCAACAGATTCCAGAAATATCCAAAGATTTTCTAAGTCTTCTTTATATGCTTATGATTTTTATAATTGAGATTTTATAGTAGCCATTTTAATCCTGCTTATCTTCCCTAACATTTCATTATAAGCATTTTTCCAGGTCATTAAAAAGTCATTCTAAATATTTTTATAGCTATTTAATATTTCTTCATATGGATGGTTCTTCAATGGTTCCCCCATTGCTGTGTATTTAGATTGTTTCCAGAGAAACTGATAATATAAGTAATGCTTTTTCTGAACATCTTTCAACAAATATTTACTGAACAACCACTGTGCTTAGCTCTGTGCTGGGTGCAGTAGATTGTATAAAAATTGTAGGAGGGGTTATTTTGTGTTGTTTTGTTAAATGGTTACTGTATTTAAGTGTCTTTGGCTTCAGACATGTGATTCTGCTAAAATGTAAAATTGCTCCACTAAGCTTTGTAAGTTTATGAGGATGATTTTACTAGATTCTGATATCAGGGAAAGATGAGGAGAACAGGCCTGAGGTAAAAAAGGAAGAATGAGGAACTTGGAGCCCCCAGAATAAAATCTTGCTATTTTCTAATTTTACCACCAACAGTGAAAGACACACCCTTCCCTATAAGACTCCCTCCTTATAGTGCCTGTCAGTAGAATTAAAAGATTCCTCACTATATTTCTCCCCAAATGTCCCTATTTTTAGCCTTTCTATGTAGGCAGGTGTGGAAATCCTATCTCACTGCAGCATGACTGAATGTATTTTTTTCTCTCCAGCCCCTCCCTGCCCCATGTAGCTGTTGTTTTCCAGTCATAATGACTCATTCTCTAGAATTCTGCCCCACAGTTATTCCAGTCCATGTTCCATGTACTTGTTCCATGTTCTGTTAACAGAGCCCATCACTTGTCGTCAGTCCTTCAGCTCTCCACTTGACAATGCCTACATCTGTGAGCTCTGGGTTTAAATCACTCTCTGAATCTCATTTTAAAATGGGACAGAATTGTGGTCCTCCTTAGACTTCTCTTCTGAGAAAGAGTCAGACACATATTACAGGGCTTCTGCCATGTAAACAAGGAGTCCTGGTGGTACAATGGTTAAGGACACAGCTACTAACCAAAAGGTCAGTGCTTTGAACTTACCAGACCTCTGTAGGAGAAAAGACCTGGTGATCTGCTTCCATAAAGATTACAAGAAAACCCTATGGGACAGTTCTACTACTCTGTCTATAGGTTTCTATGAGTTGGAATCAGCTCAATAGCACAAAATAACAATTATGTGAACAGGAACCCCGGGGTGGTGCAAACGGTTAGCATGCTTGGTTGCTACCAAAAAGTTGGCAGTTCAAGTTTATCTCAGAAGAAAAGCCTGGTGATCAACTTGTAAAAAATCAGCCACTGAAAATTTCATGGACACAATTCTACTCTGACACACAGGAGGTTGCCAAGAGTCAGACTGGACTCAATGGCAGCTGGTTTATTATGTATACATCCACTGTTTTGAAACACAGGAGGGAAGCATCAGGATTGTGTTTTAGAGAGGTGACTTCATGAGCAAAGTAGAGAATGGTCTAAGAAGAGAAGCATGACAAGAAGACCAATTACGAGGCTAGGACAGCGATTAGGATGGGAAGACGGGCCTTAAACTAAGGCAGCAACAGTAGGAAAGGAAACAAACAGGAGCACAGATGTGAGAAATATTTCCAAGATAGCAACAGCAGAACGTAGGAGCTTTTTGAAGACTGGGATCTAAGGCAGAGGAAGAAATAAAAGTTCCTTTTATTCATTCAAAAGCTATTTATTGAATGTCTAACACTGAGTATCTAGTACCTCTCTAGACGCTGAGGATACAGTGGTGGACAAAGTAGAATCCTGACTTCATAGGGTTTCCATTGTTATGGGGAGGACAGAAAATACATCAGTACCTATCTAATATGTTAAGGAGCTCTGGTAGCACAATGCGTAAGGCATCTGACTGCTAACCAGAAGGTTGGCGGTTCAAACCCACCAGCCACTCTGTGGAAGCAAGACTGGGCACTCTACTTCCATAAAGATTTACTGCCACAGAAACCCAATGGGGGTCGCTATGAGTTGGAATTGACTCAATGGCAGTGGGTTTGTGTTTTTTGGTTTATCTGATAGCAATGTGTTTGGTTTTTGGTTTTGGAATATATTGTTGTTGTTGTTGTTGTTGTTACGTGCCGTTGAGTCGGCCCCGACTCATAGCGACCCCTCCTTGGGTTTCCGAGGCAGTATCACTACGGAATAGGATTGCCCAACCTTCCTTCCGAGGAGTGGCTGGTGGGTTTGAACCACTAGCCTTCTGGTTAGCAGTCAAGTGCTTTTGCCACTATGCTACCAGAGCTCCTTGGAATATGTTAGATGGTGATATGTTAGCTGGTGATATGTGCTAGGGAGAACAATACAGAAAGGTTACAGACTTACTACAACTGCTGGGGTTGGGGAGGGAGGGATTACCATCTTACACCATTCTGATGGAAATATTTGACAGCAATCTAACGAAAGTGATGAGTCCAAAGTTTCCAACTTAAGCAACTGAATAGCTGCTAGTGGCATCAACAGGAAGTAGAGGAGGGAGCACAGATGTGGACAAGGTGATAGCAAAAGGGCAATGATGTCAGCTCTAGATAGACTAAGTCTGAAATATTTGAGACATCCAAGTGGAAAGGCCCAGAAGACAGTCAGATTGAAAGAACCCTGTAAAACATCAATGTTTCAGGTGTGGGCAGAAGGAATTGCCAAAAAAAAAAAAGTGAGAAAAGCAGTCAGAGAGACAGAAAGAGAATCAAAACATCTCAGTGTCACAAAATCTAAAGGAGAGGAAAGTTTTGAAGTGGTCAAAAAAGATGAAGATTTAACAATTATGGCAGGTCAGAAGGGCAGTATTTGCACAGGGAGTTAGCTCAGGGGGCAGAAATGCATGGGAAGGAAGGACACAGGGAAGAGTCAACTACAGGGAGGAAGTGGGAAGAGAGCTGTTACACTGTGGAGATTGCAGTCCATGTCATGAAATAAAATGTGTATGAACTGCTGTATGGAAAATGAATTTGCTCTGTAAACTTTCACCCAAATCACAATAAAAATTTTTAAAAAATAAA